TAAGGGTTAGGTTTAGGGGGTTAGGGTTAGGTTTAGGGTTAGGTTTAGGGGGGTTAGGGTTAGGTTTAGGGTTAGGTTAAGGGTTAGGATTAGGTTTAGCGTTAGGTTAAGGGTTAGGGTTAGGGTTAGGTTAAGGGTTAGGTTTAGGATTAGGATTAGGATTAGGTTTAGGATTAGGATTAGGTTTAGGGGGGGTTAGGGTTAGGTTTAGGTTTAGGGATTAATTTTAGCTTTAGCGTTTACAGTGTGCTTTTTTCTCCGCACTGTTGTCGCGCTGTGATGACGTCAGCTACGCGGTTTCGTCGAGCACGCTTTAGTCGAACGCGGTTTTGTGGTGGAACCACAAAACCTCCAAGTGGCTTCAACAACTCTCTAAAAGAATGCAAATCCTTCCATTCCCCACCATCCAGCTGAAGAAGCTTCTTGGATGAGAAGCGAAATGTCTTCAAAGAAAAACCGGTTTGTCTAGTTGCCTCTCAGAAAAAAAGCACCTTTGGGACCATCATGAAAATCCCACCCCGCTCCCTATGGCAGCAGCAACAGATCACCTTCATCACATTTCATAAGGCCCCCACCACCTTAAAAAGCTACTTACGGTTAGCTCGTCTTCATCAGAGTTGAAGAGATTATCAAGGTCAGTATAGGAGACAACCAGGTCGTTTTCATGGAACAAACTAGTTGAAGCTGTGCGGTTGTGAGGGGGATTACGCTGCGCATCTATTGCTGAAAAGGAGACCAAGGTCAAAGCTTGACAGTGAGGCATTATCTAAACTGTAACATTTCCACTGCAGGTTGTCATTTTATTAGAGGCTCTACCACCAAACAAACGAACGCAGGTAATCCTCGACTTACAACACTTCGCTTAATGACCACTCAACGTTACAACAGCACTGAAAAATGTGACGTGACCACTTTCCAGAGTTACAAGCGTGGCAGGAGCTCTATGATCAGATGAAAAGCCACAGTGGTGCAGTGGTTAGAATTGCAGTATTGCAGGCTACTTCTGCTGATTGCCGGCTGCCAGCAGTTTGGGCAGATCAAATCTCACCAGGCTCCAGGTTCACTCAGCCTTCCACCCTTCCGGGTTGGGTAAAATGGGGACCCAGATTGTTGGGGGCAAGAGGCTGATTCTGTAAATTGCTTAGAGAGGGCTGTAGAGCACTGTAAAGCAGTATATATACATCTAAGTGCTATTGCTATTATCAAAATTCAGGTGCTTAATGTCCCGGAGTCATGTGACCCCTTTGGGGAATCTTCTAACCAGCAAAGCTAATGGGGAAGCCAGATTCACTTAATAACCATGTTACTAATTTAATAAAGGCCATGATTCACTTAACAACTGTGCCAAGAAAGATTATTGTGTGTGTGTGTGTGTGTGTGTGTGTGCGCACACACACACACACACAGGGGGAGAAACTCACTTAACAAATGTCTCACTTAACAACATACATTTTGCCTTAATTATGGTCATATTTGAGGATCACCGGTACATTCCTGTTACTCTTACAGATTTATTTATTTATTTATTTA